GATTGAAGAACTCCTTTTCTAGCTTTTGGATTTCGGATTGCTTGTGTTTGTTCGACATTGGATTCAAGTTAATCGTAAGCATTTCTTTTCTTATTTGATATGATGATGTTTACTTGGGTTAATGAATGTGTTGATGTTGAATCGATTATGAGTAGCTAAATTCAATAACTAGGGTTAGGGGATAATTGTTCCGGTTCGATTTCGTTGATGTGAATGTTGATTGCTCGATCTAGATGAGTTAAGCTTAACCTAGGGTTGAATGTCTGATCATCATTTAATCTACTTAATTGATTTTAGAACCGAAAGGGGAGAAATCAATCGACCTCGGCTTGTTTAGAATAGACTTGTTCGGTAACGTATTGTCTATGTGCTAATGAATTCGATAATTGCTCGTTTATGTTTATTCTCTTGTTTCGTGAGATATTGAGAATGAATTTCTAGATGAATTGGTTATTGTTTGTTCATTAGCTGAGTAATTGATTGCCCGTTTAATGTATTGAGAACCGGAAACGATTGTCCCCGATACCCTAGTCCCTTTAAACTATTGGAATTTGTGTTTTAATTGATAAGTTTAGAATTCATTGTTTTGCTTTCATAATCACTTGCTTTACCATTAGTAGTCGTTAAATCAAACTATCAATCTTGAATTAGAGTGTTTAGGACTTCTTTTCTCATTTCGTGTGTTGAATAACCGTGCAAAATAATCCGGCTAACCTTCCTTGTGACACGACCCGGTGTCGAATCTTTGGGTTCTACTCCGGTTAAAAATTTTTACAACAATGTTATTCATAATGTTTGTGACTCATGAGACACGAACACATAACTCCTTACATATTTGCCAGAGGGCGGCTTAAATTTTTTTTTTTTTTGACTTAACTTTGATTAAAATAGGTAGAAAATAGATAATAATATTATTACTTTTTAAGCTTAAACGGACAGGGCTGAGAAAATAACTCATTTAATATATTTGCCAGAGGGCGGCTTAGTAATTTTTTTTGACATAACTTTGATTAAAAGAGGTAGAAAATAGATAATAACATTATTACTTTTTAAGATTAAACGGACAAGGCTGTGAAAATAACTCATTTAACATCTTTAGTCCGTGCATCGCACGGAGTACGTACTAGTTTATACTAAAAACTAAAACAACTAAAAAAATCTATAAAATTGTGTTTCGTATTACAAA